AATATGAAGGTTGGCGAAAGAAATATAAAACATCACTATAACCCTTATAAGCTTATGAGAGATTTCAGAATTACTAATTTATTCACATTTTATTTTTACAATTACCATCCGGTGGAGAAAGACAGAATAATCTTGACTGTTGTGGCCAAATTTACTTCTATATTCGTAAGTAAAATATTGCATGATTCGGCCCTTAACTTACACGTTGCCTAATTAGTGGAAGAAATCTCAGGATTTAGTTTGATTGACGTCATAGGAATTTGTGTTGTACGCCAAACAATTTGACTCAGGCTCTTATACCTGATCAGTAACATTCTTGTTTACTTCTGAGAACACCGACCACAGCTATATACGGAAATCACCATCATTACCACAACCAAAGTAATGAGAAACCAGAATCATTACTTTTTTACTACCCCATGCCTAAGCTGAAACCAATCACATTCTTTATCATGGGTGGGTAACAACTTGAAAGAAATCCACTTCATGCATTCCTCTGATAAAACTTCATACTACATTTCCAGTACCTGTGATACCTTAACATAAATATAAATTGCTGTACTAAAGTTATAGTGGTGCACGCGGTAGCGTAGTTGGTTGAGGCACTGTGCTACAAGCCGGAAGGTCGCGGGTTCAAGTCCCGATAAGGTCATTGGATTTTTTTCAATTGACCTAAGCCTTCCAGCCGTACTATGGCCCTGGGGTCAACTCAGCCTCTAATGAGTACCAGGAATTAATTAAATAATTTTCCTGGGGAGTAAAATGCGGCCGGCACGTAAAGCTGACAGCCTTACCGCCATCTTTGAGCCGATTGTCTAGATAACGTGGAATCCTCAACGTCTCACAACCCTATGGACCTTCACGCCTGTTACAGGGGTAGCTTTATTTTACTTTACTAAAGTTATATTACTCCATTCCATTATGAAAAAATGTCTCATACATGGAGCTTCCAAGACTCGTAGTAAAAAATATTTGCATATCTATTGGCTAAGTTCTCAAAACTAGATACATAATTAGCTAAATTCACGAAAGACAATCATTCTTGAGAAGCTGAGTCACTCAGATTTCTCAAGAAATTTCCCGCATTCTGTGGAAAACAAAATGCTGTATAACAGTGTCTCTCTATAATTTTCGCCATCAATACAGATATAATATTAATAAAATATTATTTTTTAACAGCTCATATTTTAAAATTTCAAGATCTTTATGAATTTAATTGTCGTCTTACCGCTGCCCAGTGCGCACAGAGAAACTAAGTTCCACATAATTACGTAGCGCTCTCCCACAAAGACCGTGTGCAGGTTTTGTGTCCGATGGGAATACAAAAGTTACTTTCCTATGTTAACCTATTGCATTCACTCAGATTGAACATACCAAACTCGACGGTTGTTAGGCACATCAACATGAAACATATTTGTTCATTCAATTTACCTTGAAGAAACTGCTATTTTTTTTTTGTAAAATGTAGCGGCCCTCTTTACCATTGAAAATGGTTTCCTGGAAGTGAGAACGTATAGTCTGGTAAAATGTATAAACGTTTCGGAGGAATTATTCGCGTTCATCTGCAAGTAGAAGACTGTGTCACATCTCACAAGAGAGAAATCTCCATATTCTCCTCAGAGAACTTCAAATCTCATACTGTCTTTACCGCTGAGTCTCCCATAAACTGTACGGGCTAATGCAAAAGATAATCTTCCCATATTCCCCAAATTCTACTCTAAGGTTTCATAAAATAAAAAAAATTAAAGATAAATTTTTCTCTGTGCTTAATAAGTTAAGCACTTTTTCTTCCAGAAATAAGGGGAGTGGAAGTATAGCTGCACCTTTCTTGACGTCGGCACTAGACGGAGGTGAGTGGTCAGCTTCACGACCCTTCCGCTTTACCCTCGGGAAGAATCCAGTCTGCATAAGGTAGGAGGCTGGTGGGCCCCAGGGTTGGTCTGGAGTCTGTGGAGGACGTCAAATATTGCCACTGTTTGTGAGAGCGTTACATTCCTTTTCTATCGAAGTTTACAGTTATATTTCATGTATAATATATCTTGAAGGTAAAAAAGTAAAGTTATCTCTGTACTTAACTAATTAACCACTACTCCATGAAGGCGTATTGGGGAGTGAATGTATAGAGCCACATTTTCTTGACCTCGGCACTAGCTGGAGGTGATTGGTCAGCTTCACTCCCCGACCACTTTACCTCCGGGGAAAGACCCCTCGGTACCCATTGGATAGGAGGTTGGGTGGACCGCAGAGTCGGTCAGGTCGACGTGGAGAAGAGAAAATATTTGACCCTACCGGGACTCAAACTCCGAACTCTCAATTTTCCATACCATAGCCAGTCACTATATCTACTGCGCTATCTCGGAACATGAGATGAAGACACAATAAAATTCGATCTCATTTCTGTGTGAGTTTCGATGTTTCAATATCCCGAAATTTAGCAACAGCTTCATGGTGGGGGGAACTAAATTTGCATTTGTAAATCATTATCACTATTTTTCTTTCTTTGTCATTGCGTATAATTAGCGCGATTGCATTTAGTGAATTTTTATTATTGTCTGAAGCCTTTGTCTGGAATCAAATGCCAGTTGTCCAGCAGCCAGAGACTGGGCTCTGTACTGAGTGAACTACGGCGGTTACTGCGTGGATCAAATGAACATCCGAAATTCAGAGAGAGACACGTGATTTTTGATAAACTTGTCTTCGTTTCTCCGTGTAAAGAGACAGATGCAGCTTTGCAAGACGTAATTTTCATGACCTTAGTTTTTGTCTGTTGGTAAGAAACTTATCATTAGGATTAAATTCAATTGACCTTATATAGGTAAGTCTGTTCTAGGGAAGTCCGGTAAACGAATAAACGAAAACCAGGACGTGTAAATTAAGATACAAGTTTCGAAATTGCGGAAATGTTTATTTGCAATAAACTGTAGTTCATACCACTTACTGTTACGGCTCATGTAGATATTATCGAATATTTCTGATTCTGGAGGTATTTTCAATATAGAAGGCATTTTCAATTTTAACATATGTTAATAAGAACAACTTTTAAGCCTCCTGGTAGTTCGAGTGAAGAGATCAAATAGAGATATACTACTGAAGCAAATGTATTCAAAGTAGCCTTACAAAAAGCAGGCAGTTCGGTGCCAAGTTCGTCACAGCGAAAGAAAATAAATTGTAATGTTATACAGGCGCAGTCTGTTTTAATTGTCTCTTTTACATCGCTCGATTACGTAACTTCTTAACACTTAAACATAAAATCTTGCACATACGGTATTACACAAACTTTGTTGGAAAATAATTTTCCCATAAGATAAAGAAAGCTTCTTTTTTTCACATGGTCTTATATTATCACTTTTATGCTGTATGATTTCTACTTATGAAGAGGTTGAAGGATATTGTTGTCCTCATGCATCATTGCTAGAGATGCCTGAAATATGGGACAGAATGTGCCGCTTTGTGCACGAAAGCTACATTCCCCTAAACCCACTTTCCGTACTTCTGTCAGTATCTCATGATAATAGGCCTGAACGTACGCTTCCTACCAATAATCTGTACGAATTCTTTACTTCTTCCACCCTCCTCTCATTCCCAACAAATCGTATTCGCTTACGTTTAACTATCATAAGTAAAAAATAAAAAATAAAGCTATCCCTGTACCAGGCCGTGAAGGCCCATAGGTTTGTGAGACGCTGAGGATCCCACATTATCTAGACAATCAGCTCAAAGATGGCGGTAAGGTTGCCAGCCTTACGCGCCGGCCGCGCTTCACACCCCAGGAAAATTATTTAATTAATTCCTGGTACTCATTTCTGTTAGAGGCTGAGTCGACCCCAGGGCCATAGTGCGACCGGAAGAATTAAGCCAATTGAAAAAATTCAATGACCTCTTTGGGACTTGAACCCGCGATATTCCGGCTTGTAGCATAGTGCCTCAACCAACTTCGCTACCGCGTGCCCCCACGTTTAACTATCATACCAGTAGAAAGCTATCTATATGAATCTCGAATTTCTTTTAAGAATTAAGGTAAAAGTTAAAATTGTCCCTGATCTTAACTAATTAAACACTAAGCCATGAAGGCATATGGGAGAGTGGATGTGATCTATACATCCCTTATAATGTTTTTAAATTGCATTTAATTTATTGGAAAATAATGCTTAAAGATGAAGAGATACCGTTAAAACGTGCTGCCCCTTAATATCAAAACATACGTGTATGCAATGAAAGACTTGTGGAGCGTATTTAAAAATCATCCTGTATGATATGTGTGATGCATGCGTGACAGGATGCTTCAATTCAGAGTAATGAGTAAATTTTTCATTTGTATTTTATATCGTTTATTTTAAAATTTCTTCGCTATTCTTTCGCCTATACGTGTCATGTGAAGTTTAGTAACTTAATTTTATTTTCCGTAATAACATAAATTTATGTCTGCCATATGCTAGGTCTTCTCTCAGTCTCTTATATTCTTCCCTAGCCGTTGCTTGATGCAGCACAGCACAGTACAGCACAGTCGTTCTTTGTATCAGGCCCCGTCGAGACCCATGGCCAGGTTTTTTATCCTTTCCACACTTTTAAGCTAACTGGCTCTGCTTATAATATCTCGCACGGATCGCGTAGAAAATATTGTTCCTCTGTTGCAGTACAATTGTTGCTTAGCATTGGCTTGACGTATAATATTTTATTTAAGCATCCTGTTGCATTAATATATATTTCATATAATGTCTTTCCGTCTACAATGCATCTTAATTATTGTCCCCTTTCCTTCTTGCAGCATACTGAACACTGGACATACATACGGAACTATAGCAGATGCTATGGGTGTTAAAACAACGGGGAGGAAGGGAAAGCATTTATAGAATCAATAAAGACTAACCCACATATGAATGACACATACATCGATGCACATAAGCCAATATTCGAGACATTAGTACACGGGCTTCACACAAGATAGCAGCACACACACCCCCAGTTACGTTATACTACAGGCCGAACATTCATAAGGTCAACATACACACAACGATAAACACCACTGCAGTGCAGGGTGAGGAGCCTACAGTCAAAGGGGCGTACGTAAGTATAAAGAAGTAAACTAACGCGTAGAAACACTAAATATTGCAAAATTGACAGTAATAGTAATATGGTCTTTACATACTGCAGATAACTACACCAACACACTTAGGAACAACACAATAACACACAAACACCCATGCCTCTGTGCAAATTAATGCAAACAGGGAAACCTCAAACAGTCTTGTCTGGATGAATGGATGATGATCCGGAGCAAAATATTGAAATTTAACTAAATTTTAACTTATTTTTATTGATTTTAATTAAAGTCCATTTATTTTAATTAAAGTTATATCGAATTCACATTTTATATGAGAAGTTGGACATATACCATTCAATAAGTTTAACAAACTGGAGACACCTGACGATGGCTGTGTACGGCCGAAACGTGTGACAACTAAAGGGGACAATAATAAGTTGCACTGTAGGCGGAAACATATTTTATGTAATAAATGAAGTATAATAATGTTGCGTGCGTAGCCATCGACACGGACTGCGCAGAAAACACCATTCCTCTGTTGTTGTTGTTGTTGTTGTGATTCCATAATTCTTGATTTGAGCGAATATGCCACAATATTTGAAGTTTCTTAGATTATCATACTGTGGTTACTGCCACACGCAGCACAAAAGAAAAAACCGGAACATTCAAAAAACCTAAACCAGATCCACAACATGTGCACAACAAAAGTAACCACGGAATGGTAATATAAAAATAAAAAAAAAATATTATCAATCATTTGCGGGTGGTGTGGCTTATAGAAGGGTTTGAATTGGTGGCCAGATTTATTGAACACATACGCAACTTATTACTTCACTTCAAAAACCACTATATCCCCTCCTCTCCATAATCTTTATCTGCCATCTCAACAGACTCCCTCAATTCTCTTCTCAGCTGACTGAGATCCTTGTTATATAGCTTCGGGGAAGCCCCAAGAGAAAACACCTTTTCCTAACAGTTCCTCTATTGTTATAGAATTGTGTTTACCTCGTTGTTGCATACAAACCGTAGTTCTTCTATTGTTGCGTGCGTGTTCACTTCCACGGAAACCTGTTTGCCGTGTAGTTCTGTAACAATGAACTTCTATTCTTGCTCCATTATTCTGGCTTTCAGGCGTCAGGTCACAATATTTTATAAGCATGTTACGTTATTCGTAAAATGCAAAACACAACAGTGTAACAACAGAGCAGCAGTTTTCATGTACAGTCTTGTACACATGATGGACAGTTAGGCCGAAACGTATAGTGTTAAATAAAGAATAAGAAGAGGAGAAGAGCCATAGAAGTGTGAATTTGAATATATGGATGAAGTTGCGCAGGGACGGTGGGGTGGCGTTTCTAAATTTCGGTTTCCATAAGCGAAGGGGAATTCCTTCGATCGACGAGTGATTCTTAGTTTTTCAATAAGGAGTCTGCTCTGTGGTGTTAGTTACACATCAAAAGACGAATTGGGGATGTTAAGCTAAGTAGTTTAATTTTCGAGTTGTCATATTTTGTGAATTATTTTCTCTGCATGACATAAATTTGTGATTCTCTCAGTTGAAGCATCTGTCCCCATTTTCTTCCCAGTTTGCGCGTTCGTGTCTGCAAAAATATAGTTCCCACTCTCACATTCAGAAGATAGAAGATGGCAGGTAGGATAAAGACTGACTTACATCCCATAAAAAGTGCATCAGATTTAGCCAAACCGTAAAGCATCTGTTTCATCGCTCCTGCGGCCTGAGATGATGTTGCCTTGACTGGTACCGGATGTGACGTCTGTCATTTGATGTGACGATGAGTTTCGAAATGAAGACTTTCAAGCCACTTGCATATTAAAATATTAATATATTAACGCGTTGATAAATAGTCTGTCCGATTACCATGCCTCGGGTTAAGAAATGCCTTATTTATATAAGGATTCACGCAAATCTTTTCATAACGTTAAGTAAATAACCACTGAAACGGGGTAAATAAACTGAAGAAAGCCTCAGAATTATTAAAGTTGTTCTATATTCTGTAACTCATGAGTATTGCATAAGATTCTTCTGCTTCAGTGGCATGGGAATATGACACCATCATATTTCTCACTTCCTCAGCACGAAGGTTTAAATTCGTTTCTTAAAGCTGAAAAACGATAAGTGTGTGGAGTCACAAATGGCCTACATTGAAGGGGATTAGGTATTGTAACCACCAAGATACAGAACTTTCTTTTCCCTGAAAAAGGTAAGGTACTTTTTGGACAGGCTGGTATAATCAAAGAACTTTTGAGATCACATTGAATTTTAGATGCCTACTGAGGGTAAGAGCTCTGCTTGTTGTTTCATGCTGGTTTCTTCTTTAGCTTATTCTTCGACATTGAAGATGAACGCAATATATTCCTCCGAAACGTCCGTTGGCTTTCAGAATCAGACATCACATATTACAGTTATTTACATCTAGGTAAAAAATAACCGAGAATTCTAACGTGTTTTCCGCATAATTCGCACTGATTTACGTAGTTCAAGACTAAACCTCTTGCTGGCTTTTTCTATCATTAAAACGAAGGCGTTAATTAAGATACGACATGTTATTGGTACTGAACATCGTATGAAATATTAACAAATGAGAGGCCCAAATATTAATTTAAAATAACCAAAAATTCTGTGCCTCTTGTATTTTATTATTCTTCTTTGCGTTCTCGCGTGAAAATACGGACTATGCTCACATATTTTACATTTCTGATGCAAACATTTTCGCCTTGCCTAATTTACTGCACTTAATGTTCATGGGCGGCATTTTTTCGAGCTGAGCTTAACAAATTCCAAAAACAGAGATACCATGTATGCGAGATGTTTCCTCTGGAGACAAAACAGTCCGGAGGTAAACTACTCCCCCAATCGTATCTCCGGGGGGGAGTGTTTCTAGAGGAAATGTCATGCATTTTTTGAGCTGAGCTTAACAAATTCCACGTTTAAACATAGGGAAGCATTCGTGGACAAGTTCATTTTATAGTTTCTTCCCTGAGGAGAAAAAGAGAAAGACAAGAGGAACGAAAGAAAGAAAGAAAGAAGGAAAGAAGTAAGAAAAAATAACCAAGAAAGAAGGGAGGAAAGAAAGGAAGGAAGGAAGAAAGAAAGAAAGAAAAGAGGAGGGAAAGAAAGAAAGAAAGAAAGAACGGAGAAAGGAAGGAAGAAAAGGAAGAAAGAATATCCAGTGCAATTCCGCGAAGTTATTTAAACTCACTAAATCTACGCTACGATTTGCAGTATTCGAAAAAATATCTTAAAGATGTTTAGTGATTCAGTTCCTTGCAAAATAAAAATGCGACCTCAAATGATTTTATTCGTACGTTGAACGTATAGGAACTAAATACAGACGGGTCTATAGCAACAGCCAAATTTGTTACGTCTCACGGACGAACTGCGAAATGGCGAAAGAGTAGGATCACCGAAGCCCTGAAGTTTTGAGCACCAAACACCGTCAGCCTCTTCAGATTTATTTCAGGAACGATGAATTATGTCCTGACATCGGTTCTGCAATTCGGTGTAAAACAAAATTATTTGAAGGTAACGGTAATAATTTTCCTTACTTGACGTGTTATAACTTTCAAGAACCACAAACTTAAAAGTGGCTACACAGAATTTTGGGCCTTGAAATTTGATAGGAGCTATTAAAATAAACAATAAAAGTCTAGGATATAATAATAAATCTCATTTCTTATAGTTTTAGCATCGTTTCATAATGTAAATTCCGCTAAATCTTACGAAATACGATGCTTACCATTGACGTCACAGGCTTTCTGTTTACGTATTATTCATGTTAATATAGTACACACATTAAGAAAAAAATTCGTAAGTGCGTCATACATATTGTCACACGAATGTTTTAAATCGTTACAGATCTGTACTAAAATATTAACAAGACAAACTTTTAATTTCAATACATTCATAAGCTCGTCTATTCTAACCGGAAATGACGTCAAGGGAAAGAGAATACTATAAAATTTAAGTACAACTCTTAAATGATCGTGAACAGATCTATCACGTGCAATATCAGTTCGCAGATTGATGCCAGCTTCCGTTCTGCGATTCAAATTAACTCAGTCCTACTGGTAGAACGACAATTTCGCCATGTTCGTACCGCTTGTATTTCTTCAGGCCTGCACATGAGGGCAATAAACTTAGCTCAAGTGTCCCAACAATTTGCACTTAATATGAATTTTGACTCTGTAGATAAATCTAAAGTGGACTTAATTAAGCACCATGGATGCGTGGGTTTCGACGTAACAGATCAACTACAGATTAGATCTTTTGCATTCATCAGATATTGGAGAAGAAATGGGAGTACGATGAGACAGTACATCAGCTATTTCAAGATTACATAGATTTCAAGAAAGCCTATTATTCAGTTAGGGGGGAAGTATTGTACAATATTCTGATAGAGTTTGGGATACCCGTGAAACTAGTTATGTTGATTAAATGTGTTTAAACGAAACGTATAGTAAAGTCTGTGTAGGTAAACATTTGTCTGATAAATTTCCTATCCAGAATGGTCTAAAACAAGGAGATGCTTTATCGCCACTCCTTTTCAACTTTGTTTTAGATTATGCCATTTGGAAGGTCCAGGGAAATCAGATGGGACTGAAATTAAACGGGACACATCAGCTGTTGGCCTATACCGATGATGTGAATCTACTGGGTGATAATGTAGATGCCATAAAGAAAGACACACAAACTTTAATTGACTCAAGTAAAGAGGTTGGTCTAGAAGTAAACACAGAGAAAACTAAGTATATGTTGCTGTCTCGTCACCAAAATGCAGGGCAAAATCATGACATAAAGACAGGAAACAGATGTTTTGAAAATGTGGCACAGTACAGATATTTGGGAACAACAATAAGAGATCGAAACCTGATTCAGGAGGAAATTAAGAGGAGATTGAACTCGGGTAATGCTTGCTACCATACAGTCCGAAACCTTTGTCTTCTCGTCTGTTGTCCAAAAACATAAAAATTAGAATATAAAAAACTATAATTTTGCCTGTGGTTCTGCATAGTTGTGAAATTTGGTCTCTGACATTAAGGGAGGAACATAGACTGAGGGTGTTTGAGAACAGGGTGTTGAGGAGAATATTTGGACCGAAGAGAGATGAAGTGACAGGAGGTTGGAGAAAACTGCATAATGAAGAGCTTCATAACTTGTACTATTCTCCAAGTATAATTAGAATGATCAAGTCAAGGAGGATGCGGTGGGTAGGACATGTAGCACGAATGGGGTAGACGAAAAATGCATATAGGATATTGGTGGGAAAGCCAGAAGGAAAGAGACCACTAGGAAGACAAAGGCGTAGGTTGGTGGACAATATTAAAATGGATATTAGAGAGATAGGATGGGATGGTATGGATTGGATAGATCTGGCTCAGGACAGGGACCAGTAGAGGGCTCTTGTGAACACGGTTACGAACCTTCGGGTTCCATAAAATGCTAGAAATTCTTGAGTAGCTGCAGAATTGGCTCAGCTCCATGAATAAGTTAAGTAAGAGGTGAGTGAATATGCGGGAGTAGAGGTATAGCTACACAATTCTTTATCCTGTTACTGGATGGAGTTGAATGGTCAGCTTCACGCCGTACCCGCTTTACCCCGACAAACAATTCCCAGTACCCATTTTATAGGAAGCTGAGCGGGTGCTAGAGCCTGTGTGATCCTTATGGAGACGACACAATTCAATTATCTCCACCGGGAATCGATATCCAACTCGTCGATTGTCCAGCCCATAGCCTAGTCGTTATACTGACTGATAGAACAGGTGAACTGATTCAGTCCCCCCCCCCGGACACTACAGCCCCAGTGGGCCTAGGCCTACCTCCATGAACTTCTCCGTTCACTTCGGTTTTTCTAGATCTTACACATTCGGTAGGACTCCTTGGGCGAGTGATCAGCTCGTCGCAAGGTCTCTACCTGTAGACAGACACAGAAAGACGCACACAAACAAACTAAGCATCCATGCCCTGAGTGGGATTCGAACCCACGATCCCGGTTTCCAAGCGAGCGAAGACAGTACATGCCTTAGACCGCTCGGCTACCGTGACCGGCAGTGTATAAGACTGATATATAAGAATTCAGTTCGTACCTCACAGGAAACAGATCCGAACCCACGATCCCGGCTTCCGAGCGAGCGAAGACAGTGCATGCCTTAGGCTGCTCGGCTACCGTGACCGGCAACTTGTTCAATTAGTAACATGGAAATTCTGCTTATGTTTCTTTAGGGCGAACCTGGACAACGCAGTGTTCGACGAATGAGACATGGATTATCAGGGTTCATGTCTAGTAAGGGTAACGAGTTTTCCGTCATATTTAGAATGTCTCTGAGACAGACCTATCCTCCTATATAATGGGCACTTAGCGGCTGGAGCTTGAAGCTGTCATTTATTTCTGTCCATTACCGACGTTAAGTGTGCTTGCTGTTATCGGAATGCGTCCAGCCTCTGTCCCCATAAAATGTCACGACACAAGCTTGATTAAATGGGTGAAGGAGGTTTACAGTCGAACACAGTGGCCGCGCGGTCTAGGACATGAACTGTCTTCGCCTGCTCAAACACTAGGATCGTGGGTTCCAATCCAATTCGAGGCATGGATGACTGCATTTATTCTGTATTTGTGCTGTTCTCTGTGTAGGTAGAGGTCTTGCGACGGGCTGATCCCCCTTCCAAGGAGTCCTAACGACTGTGTACAAGATTACGAAACTGAAAGAAAGAAGCGCCAGAGCTCATCAAACGTATGTAGAGCCATTGATGAATTAATATGGTTTTTCGTAGTTTTCTGCCAGACATTCAGGTAGATGCATGCCAACTGTTGAACAGCGATCATTTTACATAGTTTCAGTAGTTTCATATTGTCACTGCGTAAATATGAGTTATCGCGTTTCCAAACAGAGAGGAGCACTGTCAATGAACTGTTTATATCCAGTAACATCTAAGGGCACAGGTGATTCCATTCCAGTTTGCTGTACATATTCGAGTAGTTACTATAGGATTCTGACGATGGTGTATAACACACAGAGATATTGGGTTTTCGGACTTTATCCATCGTCCTGGTTTTAAGAAAACTAAGAAAAACACGACGTTTTGGTAATTGGATCTGTTTACGTCCTCAGGTGATGGAAAACACCTATTCTGGTCCAGTGATTGTGGCTACCTCTTTCTAAGGGACCCAACAGAATAGGTGTTTTACCTCACATAAGGACGGAAACAGATCCAGTTTCAGAAACGTCGTGTTTTTCTTAGTTATCTTAAAACCAGGACGACGGATAAAGTCCGAAAACGCAATATCTCTGTTTACATATTCGATTAATTTTCCTTCACCTACGGAATGTCCAGGGTTGTCAGACTGAACATGCAGTTACTAATTCGACTGAAGTAAATGAACATTGCCACAGATATTATAGAACAAGATATAGATTTTTTTCTTGGCACTACAGCCCCAGTGGGTCTAGGCTTACCTCCACGAACTTCCCCTTTCACCAAGATATATTTATATTCATTGAATTCTCCTCAAAACTAAATTCACTAACATATTACGTATACTAACACGTTGACACCAAAGAAAAATCAGATCTATTTTACAGCTTAAAGAAATGCGAATCCGATAACGCGCTTCTTACCACGCATCAACGTACTACACCATAATCAGGAGGTAGCGTGTGAATCCCCCCCCCCTCCACCCACTCACCCCAACCTTGTTCCAGATATGACGAAGAAGCGGCTGTCTTGTCACCAGGAGACATTTGGGAGTAGTCGCACTAAAAGATTCTAAGGAACACTGTACGCTCTGAGCTACATTTCTCTGCATTTCGAGCCACGACCAGTCCGTATTAGTTTTCCTTACAGAATGTGCAGGGTATTAAATATTACTGGAGCTGAAACAAAAAGGTAAAGCTATCCCTGTAACAGGCCCTGAAGTCCGATAAGGTTGTGAGACGTCGAGGCACCCACAGTTTCTCTCGAAAATCGGTTCACAGATGGCTCTAATATTGTCAGCCTTGAGCGTCGAGTGCCCATTACTCCCCAGGAAGATTCCTGGTACTCATTTCTCTTAGAGGCATAGTCGACCACAAGGTCATAGTGCGGTTGGAAGGATTAGGTTAATTGAAAAACTCCACTTCATTGGGACTCGAACCCGCGACCTTCCGAGTTGTAGAATAGTGCCTCAACCAACTACGCTACAGCGTGCCCTTTGTACTGAAATACAAGACTAAAAATTAAATTTCTGTAGTGATATTGTTCCTCATATTGTTAGCCCCCCCCCCCGAGTCTCAATGCTAAAAGGCCACTGAAACACGGCCGTCCACGATTGTTTTTCGTATGTATGTAGTTACACTACATAGATATTAGTGTAGTCAGAAGGAGAACATGTTAATTTGTCTGCCATATATAAACAGCTATCATATTTACCTCAGCTAATGATCGTGTCTATTCATGTAGATACACATGAAAATATGTTGCATACAGGTAGAGGCTTTGCGTCGAGCTGATCACCTGCCCAAGGAGTCCTACCGAATGTGTAAGATCTAGAAAAACAGAAGGGAACGGAGAAGTTCATGGGGGAAGGCCTAGGCCCACTGGGGCTGTAGTGCCAAGGAAAAAGAATGTGTTGTATAGACTACAGTGAATCAGGGTACTGGAAGATGTACGGTATGAAAATGTCCACATACCTTACGTAATATAGGATTAGATAGAGGTCANTACGTAACCGTGTTCTTAAGAGACCGCCATTGGACTGTATCGTAAGCCAGATGAATTCACTCCACAACCTTCAAGGACATTTATTTAACATATTCTTAACTATTGCCACCCATTCATGCTTAAATTTTCCTACTTGTCCCTTTATTCTTGTTCCATCTGACTTTCCGTGCTCCCACTAAATTTACCTGGCTTATTCTCTTTCAATGGCTTTCAGTGAAGCTGCCCTATTGAAATTATTTATTCCACGTTCCATATTTCATATCTAATTCACATTATTTATGTATATATATGTATGTATATATTTATACAAAATTCTTACATTTTTAAGAGTAGACACGATTCGGGCCATAACAGAAAACTGTTTCTCAGGACTTACAGCCTATATTTCCTGCTGCTTTCAGATGTAACCGCATGGAACATCACCTCCCAAAATCGTGCTGGGCGTTTCCTCAAACAAACAGAACACACCTCACAATAGGAGCGTTTCAACAATCGTCACCTGCCAGACACAAGAGATCAGAATCCGTTGAAACCAACTACGAAATGCATACAAGTGTTACCAACACACATTTTAGAGAGACGGATAATGATCTTGTCCTGTAACAATGGGTGCGGTAGCTTAAATGTTTGCACGACCAGTGATTACTTTGAGTGACAATCGACTATTGATCCATGAAAGCAAATCTTTAGTTCATTCCAGTAAAAATTAATTAAAGTTATAGCTATTTATTTAACGCTTATCAGACCATATTTAAATATATAAGATTTTATGTTCTTAATATTACGATTTTCTGTTTTTCGTGGGACCCAACTACGTGGCTTCACATTCATGGGGATATCAACTGTCGTTGTGACGAATATGACAATTGTTAGTCAAGCACCACCTGAAAGCCGGAATAGCAACGAACAGAAATGGAAGTCAATTGATAGGCAACGGTGCAGTAAGCACGTTTTCATGACAACGGAAAATTTACATGGGTACGTGCAAGCGACACACAATTCCTTGGAAATGCGCAAGCCTATATATGGAGTCGTGCTGACAAGAACGAGAGGATTAGTCAGACAGACGTTTTCAAAACAGTCGCAGTAGAAAGGGGAACCAAGAGCTTATTCGGAAGAGATTCTTTGTTCGTCATACGTCATAGTAGAAGAGAAGACACTCGTAGCCCAGTAAGGAATAAAAGGAGTCTTACGCAGCCATTGATTGCAAACTGTTATAATTGGTCATAATTGTAAAGTAGTGCCAATAAATCTAATCACTCAATTCAGAACCCCTTATTGTTCGTCACACAAACCCCGAATACGTGACGTGGGTACACTTTAATTTAGGGGGCATGCGGTAGCGTAGTTGCTTGAGGCACTATACTACAAGCCGGAAGATCGCAGTTTCGATTCCCGATGGAGTCATTGAATTTTTTCAATTTACCTAATACTTCCAGCCGCAATATGGCCCTGGGGTCGACTCAACCTCTAACAGAAATGAGAACCAGGAATATTCCTGGGGGATAAAGGGTTCCTGGCGACTAAGGCCGACAACCTCACTGAAATCTGTGAGCCGATTTTCTAGAGAAAATGTGGGAGCCTCGACGTCCCACAACCCTATGTATCTTCACAACCTGTTACGGGAATAGCTTTATCTTTACCCTTTATATTAACCTGGTAACTGAGGTATTTGCTAGGCGACAATTCCAGGTCATCCAGCACATAATAAGTCACTATACTCTCTTCCAACCTTTATTCTGTACTACGTCCTACAAATCTAGTGTTTAGTTCCGCAAAATAAAATATATCTATAATATCTGATATATTGTGTCCTTGTTTTCGTAACCTAACGCCACTCTTTCCGCCAGTGGGCTATGAAATCAGCGATTATGTAAGTGTGAAGCTCATTCACAAGAAGAATTAAGAGACAATTTATCTACCAATATATCACTTGATTTAACTGGAAGATTGACCAAGGATTCTGTAGAATCCTTTGGTCTGCTGAAGTATATGCCAGCAACTCTATCTGAATTATGGTATAAGGAAGGACAAAATGTCATCAACAAACATTCAACGCCACTGACGACCTCGAAATATATCCGAAGGCAATTGTTCATCTCTGTGATATTTTTGACAACACGCATCATGAATTTCCCAATTTCTAATTTGATTCTACCTTACCAGAGCCGTGGAATCAACATAAAATTAGACCACAATATTTCCATACATTTTCACTTCACCCTTTCGAGGGTACCTCTTGTTCTAAAGCTGGAGTTCACTAACGCACAAATGTCACGCACGGATACACAGCCGCATCTTCACAAATCCAGTTACTAATGATCATAATGAACAGGTATTTCATTCATAAGCTCAAATCCGACGATGAGGCCACATGGAAATGTGACACCCTACAGCACTACTACACTTTTTGAAAAGCTATTTGTTACACGACTGAAATATATATAAAAAATTTCGTGGTTTTAGTCACCGAGCGACCGCAGCTTGAAGGCGAACTTAGTGCCAACTTTAGCAGATAGAGGGTGTCGCGTTGTCAGCGCAACGAATCCCCATGGCCGTTAATTTCGATTTTTCTAAACCGGAGCATCTATATCCTTGAAATAGCTCCTCAATTATCCTCACGAGGCTGAGTGGACCCCGTTCCAGATCCACTACTTCTCAGAAAATGTAGTAGCCAGGGAATCGAACCCAGACCTCTGGATCTGTAGCCAGTAACTCTAACCACAAGATTACAGAAGCAGTGACTGAAATATATATATGAAAATCCAAAATTAACTTAAAGGCTATATAAGTAGTGTTACCACAAACAAAAAATGTTCCATTACTGCAATAATATATTTATAAATTATTTAAGTACATGCTGACACAGATAATATCATTACTTATTGCCATAAAGTCTGTATGGTAAGTAGCTTGTGGTCGCAGTGGTAAGCGGTAGACCTGCTTAAAGAAGAAACTAAAACCATGAACAACTGTAGTATTGCTGTGACATATTGCTGTGACTTACAGACCATTCAGATATACGTGTATAAGTATACCAACCTAACGTTTGTTTCTGGCCTTGCCATAGCCCAGGCGGTTAGTCGCTGGCTTCCCACCACGACGGTCCGGGTTCGAGCCAGGTCAAGTCATGATGGATTTGTGGTAGACAAAGTGGAGCTGGTGTAGGTTTTCTCCGAGTATTTCGGTTTCACCTGTCAATTCTCAGTCCACCGATTGCTCCACAAGCATCCTCATCATCATCTATAATCCGTTAGTGGTATAATAGTCCAATTAGTGGCAGACGTATCAAATGGACTACGATGTCACCCCACCTCAAGAAGAAGAAGAAGAAGAAGCAGAAGCAAATTTGGTTCCTGAGGAAAATATGTTTTGTGTAAGAGAGGAAGTTCGTCGTTTACGACACCGCATAAAATTCCGTTGAAATGTATCAAGCGGGTAAACTGAAGGATAAAAAGAATTGAGACTAGCGGCCACGATATATTTTCCCAGCGTTGTCCTATCCTGAGAACCCTGCAGAAACTGTCCCGGCCGCATTTATAACTAAAGCATAAATGGAAATTGATACACTGAGAAGTCCGATAATGCAAATACAACAGATGATGGGACATTATTGGTCGCACGAAACATTTTCCTAATATCATACTGACGTTGGCACAACGAATGAAGATAATCATCTCAGGATAAGGATAGGTTTCCATTACCTATACTTCAGCATTGATATAGGCCTAAGCCTGAATTGCAGGAGGTGAAGAGAATGATAATAACGAAACAAAACACACACTGAAAGTCACGGTGTAACGACTGCGGTGTCTAAACACTAGAGATAGTTAATTTTTTCTGATGGTTGCGCGCGCAATCTCCGTCTGACTGCAATCAAGGTGTAAAAGTAATGAGTAGGAAGGCCTTGGTTAGTGCCGGCGACCCCGCGTTGTAGTGAGGCCCGCCACTGTGCCGATACAGTGGTGGGCGGGCAGTATCATGATCTCCACAACCTTCACTGGTACACTCTCTGCAGCCTCACTCCACACACCTGCTCTCACTCGCTAACTCGCAGTTCTACCCAACACCTCTCGGAACTAGCGCCTTCTCGCTTCTGTTGTTGACTCCCTGGCATTATCAGTCCTGTTCCTGACTACGCTAACTTACAGTTCTACCCAACACCTCTCGCAACGAGCGCCTCCTCGCTTCTACAGCTGATTCCCTGGCATTATCAGTCCTGTTCGAACTCTACGCTAACTCACAGTTCTACCCAACACCTCTCGCAACGAGTGCCTTCTCGCTTCTGCTGCTGACTCCCTAGCAATATCAGTCCTGTTCCTGACTACGCTAACTCACAGTTCTACCCAACACCTCTCGCAACGAGTGCCTTCTCGCTTCTGCTGCTGACTCCCTAGCAATATCAGTCCTGTTCCTGACTACGCTAACTCACAGTTCTACCCAACACCTCTCGCAACGAGTGCCTTCTCGCTTCTGCTGCTGACTCCCTAGCAATATCAGTCCTGTTCATGACTACGCTAACTCACAGTTCTACCCAACACCTCTCGCAACGAGCGTCTTCTCGCTTCTGCTGCTGACTCACTGGCATTATCAGTCCTGTTCATGACTACGCTAACTCACAGTTCTACCCAACACCTCTCGCAACGAGCGCCTTCTCGCTTCTGCTGCTGACTCCCTGGCAATAATAGTCCTGTTCCTGACTACGCTAACTCACAGTTCTACCTAACACCTCTCACAACCATCGCCTTTTTGGTTCCACAGCTTACTGCTTAAAATTATTAGTCCTCCTCCTATTTCTACACCATCTCACAGTGTTACAAAACCCACAGCTTTGTGGCTTCTACAGCCAACTCCGTAGCATTATCAGTCCTGTTCCTGACTACGCTAAATCACCCACTCGTCCATTAAAGCCTTGATCTGCATTTCTTGTGTTCATTCGTTTATTTGAGGGAACAGATTTATGTAGGATTAAGGCTCTAATTTCAAAGAAAAGTGTGGGAAGTCTCCGTTGGGTTAACAACTGTACTAAGAATTTTAGAGGTTTTCCTCAGTCCATTCGTGAAAATGGCTGGATTAATCGAACAAGATGGGTTCATTCCGAATCTTGCCCATTCACCATTCAGAGGGATTAATTTCTTCCAGGCACAAACTGACGATAGGTAAAGATAATTTATCTGTATTACAGTCAGTGAAGGTCCATAAGGTTGTGAATCCCACATTTTCTAGACAATGAGTATTTCTCTATCAGGAATCGAACCTGCGATCTTCCGGCACATACTGACGATACATTTTTATATTTTCCTGAATCTCTCCAAACCAATAGAAGTCTGGTTAACTTGAAATAGGCCATGGTCACCACATTAATTAAATAAGAAAACAACAAATCCATTCATATTTAATTCAACTTATTGCTTACAGTTTTACTAATTTTTTCACTTTCCCGTTTGTCGTTTTTTTAAATTTTTTTGTGCAGTCATTCGTTATCTCATTAGATCGTTTCCCTCATAACTTATTCAATTGTTCGTCTTTCTTGGATTACGACTCTAAATCTCTCTTTCATTTCATCCTTTACACAATCAATCATTCCATCTATCCCTTCGAAAGTTCATTATTTAAATTATTCCTCATGTTGCTCAATCGCTCGTTTTCTCTCTGAGTAATCTACCATTCATCCACCTGATCATTGACCTGCACTCCCACGGTATACTCGTACTACTGACACAAGCATTCATTTCCTGTGACGCACATGCCCATAAATTAATATCCATCCAACTGTCCAACCACCCATCCTTCCATCATCTATCTATCTATCTATCTATCTATCTATCTATCTATCTATCTATCTATATATCTATCTATCTATTTATCTATCTACCTGTCTGTCTGTCTGCCTGCCTGCCTGCCTGCCTGCCCGCCTGTCTGTAAGTCTGTCTGCCTATCTATCTGTCTATATGTCTACCTGCCTGTCTGCAAGTCTGTCTGTCTGTCTGTCTGTCCATCTATCTGTGTATATATATATATACCTGTATATCTATTTATCTAGCTAGCTATTTATGTACCTATAATATATCTATATATATCTAGCTGTCTAACTGTTTATCTATCTAGCTAGCCGACTATCTGTATATATATTCACATATCAAATTTAAGCCTCATTCAAGAGAAATACGATATTTAATTGTTAAGCGCGAAGAAAATATAACAGATAATTTGCTTATATGTGCATACTATGACTAATACCCATACTGAAAGCTCATCGATAATGCATTCAATCAGGAACAAAAAAATTTTATAAATTAATTTTTTATTTACGCAATAATAAACGGAGATATTAAACTTATATTCCGAATGGCATTGTAACGCGTATATTTACTGTTACGCAGATTATGAAG